TCAAAGTCTCAATGAAATAATCGAATCTCCCCTCACCAAAAACGAAAATAGGATTTTATTTGTTTAAATCGGATTTGGGTTGATCTAGGTGAAATTGGGTCGATCCAGGCGAAGTTGGGTCGGATCTGAAAAACTGCAGGAGAAATAAAAGTTCTGGTTTCTGCCATCGGAGTGTATGCCTGATGGGAGCGTCCGATGGCAATTTTCTGCAGATTTCGAACATGAGAATTCTGGGAGTTGGATTCTGGTTTCTGCCATCGGGGTATATGCCTGATGGGATTGCCCGATGTCAGTTTCCAACAAAATATGTCTTCACCAGAAATAGTATAAGTTTTGCTCCACTTATCCGATTGACTTCAAACCACCGCCAAATGAAAGCTATCTCAATGCTCTATCTTGTCTCCAAATTAGAGCTCGATCCATAGGTGGAAAGTCATTCAACGAATGCCAAACTTCTGGCCATTTTATGCTCATTTGTTCTCATTCTTTATTCATTTACCTCAAACTCCATCCAAATGTGTTTCAACCTGAAAAGAGACTCGAAAACCCATTGAAAATATTGGTTAAAAATGTACAAAATGAGATAAAATATGAGAATATCAAATGTAAGATTTTGTTTTTATTGAACTACAAAATTTTTAATAAGAAAAAACTTTTCATATTTCATAAAATATATAACTTTTAAAAATAATATAAAAAAGATTTGTTTTTTCTTAACATTTTTATTACGATAGTTGATTTTTACTAATTGTTTCAATTATAAAATTCATAAACACATTTTAATTTTCTTTATACGTCAAAAAAAAAAAATCTTAGATGGAGAGAAAACTCCCTAATTATATAATAAATTTCAAAATAATATATTTTAATGTATCCTTATTTATTTGTTTGGTAAATAATAAACATACTCACAAAATATTGATAAAGTAAGTTAGGTTTAGGAGATAATTCAACAATTAATTTTATAAAAAATTTTATTAACATAAATATTGAAATATTTAATTTGACAAAACATTATTTAGTGAATATTTTCACAAGTTTAATTAATTTATTTATTTTTAAAAATCTTTCCATATTTCGTCATTTACATTCTAAGTTATTCAACTGTATTCCAAAAAAAAATTCATCAAACATTTCGTCACATTTCGTAATTCAACCGAATTCAACCCCTATCTTTTCACCCCTGTTAATCAATTTATGTGCGCCGTCAAAAGAAAAAAAAAATCAATTTATGTGCGAGGGAGGGAAATTGGGGGAATCTTTTTTAACACAATAGTGGTGTGTTCATTCTCCTCACTTTTGTCTCCAGTTTCTTCAGTAGCTGGGCGTTCCGACTTCCGACGAATCTGCTTCACCAATTCTCCGACGACGAGCTCTAAAACCTAGAATCGCCGGCGGCGAGAGGTGCGAGACCAGTGAAACGACGATGGCTGAAGGAGTATCGACTCTCACATTCCCAATGTCGAGAGAATCGGAGTCCGCTTCTCGACTGAAATCTATAATCACCGATATGCTTCCTCTCTTCTCCGACGATTACTACGGCGACGTCCTCTCTGTTCGTTATCTCTCTCATCCTACTCTTGTTCATGTTCGTCTAGTTTCGGAGAGGATTCTTAGGGTTTTGTTTTCTCGAAATCGTTGATTTACTTGTGCTCTTGTACGGACAATTCTCTGCTCGCAATAGTTATTCTCAATCCTCTTGTCAATTTCCTCACGGCTTTGTTACTAGTGCCTATATTCTCCTTTATCCCTTACTGTTCTGAGGATTCGACGGAAAATATTATCGATGATTGTGTAGTATCTGACTTGTATAAGGTTATGGTGCAAAAGGATTTGTGTAAAAATTTCGAGAATAACTTGCAGGATCTGTATAGGCCTATCTATCTGTCACTACTTTGTGTGTTGCATTGTACAATCTGATCCGTATTGCAGGCTGATGGTGCCTGATTCCTGATTTTGTGTGAAGATCAGGTGATTTGTGTTTACTGATAACATCAGCTTGTTTCAGGAGTACATTACTGTGCTTGTTTGTAACGGAAAGAGTCAGAAGCAGGCAAGAGAAGATTTGGATGCATTTCTTGGGAAGCAATCTTGTGAATTTGTTGCCTGGTTTGTTTTGTTTTCCTTTGCTATCTGCATCTCCTTTTTTTGTTAGCTTGGTATACGCAATCAATACATTCGGATGCCGAGAATGTATTAGTTACATTGAACAGCGAAGTGGATGAAATTTCAATACGTATGTTTCTGTTTTGTAGCTTATGGGAGCTTCTTCTTAAGGACTTCTCTCTAGATAAACGAGAAACCTCTGCTCCTGAACCTAAGACTGTTGTTGACTGTGGTTCTTATGATACTCCAGTCGAACAAAGTTTGATTTCCAGAAGGCATAATGATCAAAAAGCTACCAAGGCTACTTATTGCATGAACGTAAGACTAAGACATCTCATTCATATTTGTGAATGCTGCACTACTTTCTTAGGCACTGTCTTAATGTGAATGGCTTTGCAGGAAAAGCTGATATCAGCTACTGCTCCCATAGAAGATATTGAGGCTCATGTATCACCAAAAGTTAGAAACATGAAGATGCTACGACGAGAGCTCATGAATAGCCCTTGTAAAAGGGCACCATCAAAAAGGAAAGTTGATTGGAACTCGTCTGGTTTGAATTACTCTAGAAAAGTACTGCGCTCCATTGTCGTTTCAGCCAACAAGCAACCATGTGGTACTAATTCTGATAAATATGAAAAGGTTAGAAGGTTAACTTCTTATTCTGAGTTGATTTTTCAAATTGTTTATGCAATTCCCATCTCTAACTTGACCTCTGTATATATGCAAAGCAGTGTATGGATGAAAGGAGTGGAATCTTACATAACCGTCCATACTTATCAGAAAGAGAAACGAGGAAACGTAATTCTCAATCTGTCCCTTCAGGTATTATCTTGCTTCTTGACAAGTTATGATATTTTGATAATATGACGAGTGACATTTTTCAACTCATAAAAACAATTTCTCAGGAGGAGCTGTGTCTGCAAGATCCCACGATGCAGCTTCGCACCAGGAAATGAAGCCTCATGTTAGTGTTTGGGATCGTTTGGCCCGACCATGGTCCAGTCGTCTTCTTGACAGAAAATGCCATAGGGTGCCTAAGTTTGGTAGTGAGGCAGATGAAAAGAAAGTGCTTCAGCAGCATGGACCAGCATTTCCTGCAGCATATATTGAAAGAGAAGTTCCTGCAGTTGGTTACATACACAGATCCAAATCCCATAAAGCTAGGCAAGCCAAGAGTGGGACTATTACATCCACTGAACCTCGGATGGCGTGTAACCTCAGTAGAAAGAGACGTTATGGAAACCCCAATTCAGGAGATTCTCCTGTTTGTGAGTTTAGCAGTGTTCTCCAGTCTAAGCAAGCTAAACAGGATGTTGAAAACCCAAGCCTGCTCTCCAATCAGTCCGCAAAGCCAGATCTTTTTTCGGTATGTGCAGCTCTGTTATATGATAGTTATGCTTTATTGCTGTCATTCATGTCAATCTAGATTCCTCACATCTCAAGTGATGTTCTTGCTTTCATCAGGAAATACGGAATGTTAAACAAAAGCTGCAACAACTAGAAATCCAAATTTTTCAAGCAAAGCAGCTGAAGCAACAGAAAATTGGAGAACTCAAATGCTCATCACAATCTGGTATTTTATGTTCTTTTAAGCCTTAAGTATCTGCTTTTCAAATTCATGCTTTTGATTCAATTCAAGGAGCACCATCTGGATAAATCATTGCCACTTATACTTCCCCAGTTGTTGTGCTGCTTAGAAGTTGATCGTTGCACTTGATAAAATTCTTCTGTGCAGGAAAATTGCAGCAGCAACAAGATATCGCGGAATCAAGAATCATACATGTTACTAACGTAATCCTACATGGTTTCCTCTTATCCTTTTTTGTGACATTATCTATTTCCCTAAACTTACTTTCCTGGCTGATTTTAGAATCTCCAACCTATTCCTTACCCTTTATACTTCTGAGATTGTGAAATTACCCTATTCTCTGAAAATGCAACTTGATTCTAATGTTGTGGCTTTTTTTTTTAATGTTTCACTAAAAGTATCTGGAATACAGTGAAATAACTTCTGAATGAACTTATCAGGTACACTATGCAGCAAGTAAAGAAGCTATATCAATGTTATTCAGCAAGTGTGGAGCTGTCAAAAACGTTACAATTGTAACTAATCCAGTAACTCGGCAACCAAAGGGGTAAAATCCTCTCTCTTAAGTCTTTCGTTCATTGGACACAAAGACTCATTTCAAGCAAGAAACCGTCCTTATTTACGATCAAATTTCTCCAGTTCTGCTTTTGTGACCTTCGCTACAAATGAGGCAGTTAACAAAGCAATAGCTCTGAACAACACAATGTTCTATTCAAGTCCAATCAAGGTCTACTTTCAATTCTTCTCTGTCTCGAACCACCAAATTTACTTGTTTCTAACACAATCCTAAATCTTCCGACTTCTCTGTTTTCCAACGGTTCAGGTTCAGAGACACGTGATATCATCTGGAATAATGTCCGAGACACCAGCAACACAAGTAGTTACTTGAAGGTAAACCCAAAGGATCTGATAGGTAATAAATACACAAAGAGAGCCTAAAAGCATCACCTTAACTACGTTGTTGTACAGCTTAAGATGGAATCAGACGATATGAAACGAGTGAAACTCATCTTTTCTCGTTACCATATGTGACACTTAATTCCACTTTGATCGGATTTTTTTTTTTAGCTCATTTTGATCCTCCCAACGACGACTTTGACGGGACAGAAATATAGTGGTTGATGAAAAAAGTGAGTCAGAAAAGCTAACATTGAAGTGAAGTGAAGAACAGGTATCACACTTCACAAGTAAAAGACTAATAAGCAAACTTTCTGTTTTCTTCTTAATTAACACAAAAAACTAGAAAATCAGTGAGTCTAAAATGGTGGTGTGGATTACTTAATTCTCCTATCTTGGGAAAACAAAATAATACATTCAGATTTTATAGATACACAAAACACACAAAAGACACACAAACTTATATATCTAAAGCCCATTTTTTCCTTTTTTTTTTTTTAAATAAATA